GTTTTCTGTAGGATATTCTAGTGACTACTCTAGCATTAGGTTATTTACCTTTGGTACACTGATCTCCCACTTGTCTCCATCCCTTACAGCATTGGTATTGTTTTCTGTAGGATTTTCTCGTAATTGTCCGATAATTGGTTAAGTAAATAGTTCTGTTGATATCAAGACAAAAGGTCCATCAGTCTCACAATCCAAAGCTATGAATGTGGGTTCCGATTTAGATGGATACGATAATACTCGCGGTGAAACAACAATATGAGTCTTTCTTCGACCTTGTGATTAAAATATCGCAGGTGTTCTCTTAACCGTCTTAGACTTACATAATAGCTCAACTACGTTCAACTATACGTTTCTCTTACGTTTCCCTTACTTTTCACCTACGTTACTCGTGGTGGTCTTCTTCGGGTCCCAGTACGAACGAAAGGAAAATCTAAGCAAACCATTTGCATACATTATCAGGGGAAAACCCGCTGAACCATAGATCCACGTGAGGATATGAAAGGAATGTACATTTATCAACACATAATCAAGTGTCATTACCTGTTTCGAGTGCATATTTTCAAGTCCCATAATCCACATTTATAGGTTATTTCGTATCTGTGTGGGACTCGATATGACTGTTTGTAGTTTTCACTGAAGCTAAGTCATTTAAAATAATGTTGATTACTGTTATTAGTACTATAACTGGTATAACTAGTTTCTCTCTCACTCCTTTTGGAATTCGAGGGCAGGTCCTGTAAATATAGAAGGGGTGCAGATAAACATGATGATAAACAAATTACCTGTTGAGCCGTGACTCGAGTTTCATATCGTATAACTCATTAGCTTGTTTGCGATATGATATGGAAACTCGTGAATAACGACAATAAGACGCCCTATAGACTCCTTGCACTAAAGTGTAAGTCCCGAGAGGATTTGTTCCCGGGGACAAAAAATTGTAATTTTTTTGCTTAAGAAGAGACGGCGTATTGTTTTGTTCCCCAAAATGAAATAAAATAAAATAGCCGTTCACCGGGTCTCCTGTAAGTATCATTTGAAGAGTATGAAGCTAAAGAGAACCTCGCAGACTCAGCTTACTCTTAAAAAGATTTGCAATAAATACATGTAAATGAAATAASTGGTATTAAAATAAAAGAGAGGTAAATCAAAGACCCTATCTTAAAGGGAAAAATGTATCAACGTTGAATGTGCTAAGGGAAAAGAGTCAAACGGGTAGTTGAAAGAGCACTCTGTATTAATATTTTTGTTCAAACCAATTTGGTTATCGCAAGAGAAAACGAACTTAGAGAAGAAATCCGCGAGCCCAATTATGAGCATTCTTTGATGCTATTTTTAGAATTATTGATGCTATTTATAGAATAATTCTTTTGGTCGTTTATTTTTTTGTTTTTCTGCACTCGCATACTGCATGCATTCAAAGTTTATAGGGCTGTTAAGTTGTGACGTATTTCCGGGTCCAATCACACAAAATATTGCTATTAATATCTTGCCACAACTTATTCCCGGGATTTATTCTCTACTTTCRACAATTATATATATGAACAGAAAATCCTGAGAAAAAATCTCTAGAAGTAATTATTAATTTGGACCCGGAAGTCATTTTTCGTTCGAAATTACGTCACACTTAACAGCTCCATTTCTTCATGTTTTCATGTATTTTTCAAGAAACGTTAGCAAACAGCGAAGAGCACACGCATTATGCGCTATGATAATTGTGGGTCTTAAAATAGCATCAAACGGTGCTTATGATGGTTTTAAGCATGAATATCGGGGAATCCTTCTCGTAGTTCATTTACTCTTGTTTAACATGATAATCTAGGCCCGCCCTGTCATAATCACTTGAAAACATGGTAACATTGACTGGAGACCAATACAGACGCCTGCAAAGGTCTCTTGGGTAGGGTTTCTGAAGACCTATGGGTACTATTGCGCTATTTCTCCATGTTTTGTCATGGAGGAAACCAGTGGAAAAAATTCATGACTGGGCTACCACAGGTATTCCAGTAAAAACAAAGGTATTTTAAGACTGTATTGTCACAAGCACTATTGTAAGACTGTTTTGTCACGTGTCGCGGGTAGCTAGTAAAAAAAAAAAAAAAAAAAAAAAAAAAAAAAAAAAAAGAAAATGAATGAATATTTTTTTAAATTTCATCACAAAAAGGAAATATTCAGTTCCAATCAAAAGTATGTCATCGCAAAAGGATATTATTCCTTCTTTCCGTTTATTTGGTGAAAGAGAAAGCAATTCCTGCTTAAGCAAGCCAAGACATCTCCTGTGGTGCTAATTTCAGTTTATTCTTAAAACAACTGATCAAAAAAATAAAATAAACACCAACTGTCAAGATGTAATGGACCAAATTCACTTGAGCGAAATGTTTTCATATTGCATACCATGCGCCATTCATTTGAGAATAAGTTTCTTTGGTTTGATCATGAGCTGCAATGTGTCTAGCTTTTCATTTGCAGCCGTTAAAAAAATACTATAAGGGTTTTACTATGTGGTCTGAAATGGATTTCATCGATTTGGTCTCTATGAAATAGCAGAAGAAGAAGAAAAATGAAATATGTCACCCCGACGAAGGGCTCATTGTCAGAAACGTCAGTAAAGTTGAGTCGGAATGAGTCGGAAACGGTAGACACATGATTTGTAAATCTTCTATAGCCGTAGTGTATCTCGCCGAAACTACACTTTGTGATTGGATAAATTACTAGAACAGAATGCAAAGCTATTACGATTTTAGGTTTCATTCTTTTCATGCATGTACATATTCTTTAAGTGAATATCGTAGTTTTCCTTTCGTAACATATATAACTATTCTCATGGGAAACTATTTCATTGTTACAGCAAACCATACGTTAATGCTTTCAGTAAAAAACAAAACAAAACAAAGCAAAAAAAAAAAAAAAAAAAAAAAAAAAAAAAAAAAAAAAACAACAACAACAAAAAACAAAGAAAACAAACAAACAAACAAAAACAAAAACCAAACAAACAAACAAAAACAGAAGAATACTTTATTTAAGGGACCAGTATTAATATTTACATGTTATTGATATTTTTTAATAGACTTATCATGATATTTAAAAATAAAGGCATCACGCCAAGAAAACGGCTGAAACTGAAGTGAAAGTTGAAAGAAACATACGTGAAAGAAACATGAGGGACCATTATTATTATATGTTTGTTAATGATACTCTTTTTAAAGACATCATGATATTTATAAATTAAGGCACGCCAAGAATCGGCTGAAACTGAAGTGAAAGTTGAAAGAAACATACGTGAAAGAAACATGACATTGTTTGAGGGACCAGTATTATTATATGTTTGTTATTGATACTTTTTTAATAGACTTATCATGATATCTATAAATTAAGGCATTACGCCAAGAATCGGCTGAAACTGAAGTGAAAGTTGAGAGCAATACACATGAACGTCCAAATGATGTCATTGGACAGCATATACATCTCAACATGATTAACCTGGCACGAAATATACGCCTCATCACGATTACGCATATTAGTTATTGATATAAATTTATACTTGATGATAGAGTTTTGCGCACTGTGATTGGTCGAGCGATCAGTGATTATGACACGATATTCATATGGGTACTGAATGATCATACCTTTCATTGTATTATATTTAATTGTAATTGAGTTTTTGTTTAGATCCGTATTAATGTAATATAATACTAAATTCAAATTCAACCATGATTTTTTGGTAACTGTCTTAAAATCTTACCTTACTCGCTTGGAACAAACATTTGTTCCATTTGCTGTCAGTCGATTGCCATTATTTTGACCAGGTAGAACTAATACAAAAATGCAGCAACTGAGAGTTATACGTAGCAACACGTCTGAGCCCATATCGTTGAGGTTTAATAAAACAATACCTACAAATGAAACTACATAAATTATGTGATGGTTGAAATACGTACGACGGTGAAAAGGAAGTATATTTGTTTAATGGAAGACCAAATCTAGACCTACCACTCTTTTTCTGGAAATAAAAAGGATCTGAACTGTTTTGGAAATGCGCTAGTATAGTGAACAACAGGGTGAAAATATACTCTAACCGGAGTACAGGAAAATGCCGAATATGTCTGCTAAATTTCCCCAAAGATGACTGCCATTCAATCATCCACCATGAAAAAAAGATGAATTTATCTATATGCACAGACAAGTTAAACCAAATAGTTTACATCATGCCACAAAGAACTGACTCTGCCCTTTGTTGTTGAATATACATTTTCATATTCTAAAATATATATAGGAGAGGTCGTGACGTTTTTCCGGCTGAAAACAGGGGAAAAACAAAGGGACGAAAGCCCAAAGTGAAATATATTTGTTGAGTAGCTCAATTTTGTAAATAATACAAAGAAATAAGCAACAGTCATTCAGCTTTGTCAAAGCCCGTCGGAAACAACCTCTTGGCTAACCTAAATCAGGGCACAGCTAACTTACAAATGTAACTCTAAAATAACTTCTGGGATGGTCTAAGTTAGTGCTAGGGTAGGGGCGTAACTAGGGATCTTGCAGGGGAGGTGCACAGGCAATGATTTGCAGAGCTGAAAAAAAGGTAACCAAAAAAATAGCAGAACCAAAAAAATGAAAAAAGAGGAAAAAAAGGGTAATGGGTGCGTGATTCTTAAAAATGCTACAATATGCAGATGGAAAGTGCTCTTCATTTTATCAAAAAACATTTACATGTAATTTTAAAACAAAAGGAGATAGATGAGAGGCCATTATGTGTAACCAGTGTGTTGCCAGTGTGTTACGAACTGATGCAGTTTTATTACGATCTCTCAAAACAGGTTGTACAAAGTTTGTTTGCTCACCAGTATATTTCAGCCATGGGAATCAAGATGTTCATTCATTTGCTCTCAGTGAATTAATCGCACAATCATGATTACTGAGCTACAAAGGGCTTATTTCCATACTACAGTACGTACATACACAGGCCCATATATTCTATTATCAAACTCATGAATAATGCATGAGGAAAACACAACAGAAATCACGACCTTGAAGAGTGTTGTAAATCTGATACAAAACTGTGTTCATTTGCATAAACTTTAAGTTGGATTTTCTTGGCCAAACTCACTTTAATTTTGAAAATTTTAGTGAAACGCAAAGGAACTAACCTAGACGTTTGATAAGTCATATACAGTATTCGTGTCCGTGCTGTATCAGATATCATATCTGATACAACACGGCCACTCATACTGTATATATTACTTAATCTTCAATTTATCTTTATCAATAAAATAGATATACAAATGAATTTTTGAGCAAACTAATTGCACATGATATTTTATGCAAAAAGAAGTATCCTCTATAGATTATCATATACCGGGCGATTGTGTCTTGCCGTAGGGGGTAGAATCTCGTAGGGCTGGTCGTCCGACTCTTCCGAGTTGCCAGGTTGTTGATATGCATCAGAAATTAATTCCAGATAAAGATTAGCGTTATCGTTATCTCCATTGCTATAATTCTTCTTTAAGGTGTTATCGAGTACAGAGGTCGAATTCTCGTAGAGTGTTGGGGATTCCAATTCGTATCCCGGGTTGTATTTGACATGGCTATTATCGGAGTTAATTCGGTTAAGGGAATGATAAGCACTTTTTGAGTCTTTGTCGCCTTCCTCGCCTCTCTTCTCCATTACATATCCTTCTTGAAGTGGTTGATAAACACTTTCAGCTTTCCTGGCGCTACCAAGGTTTTCGTACTGCGTCTCCATGGAAATAGAACCTACGTCACTTAATCGACTCTCACGTGACTTTTTAAGTAGTTTCTGATAGGTAGTATAAATCCCTTCCTGATTGACGTCATCTTGGGAAGGCCTTTCGGTAGTCCCTTTCAACTCCATGTACATTGGTTTCGATTCTTTCGTCTTGATTTCTTTCTTTTCTTTCTTAGCTGTATGGATGGCACTCGCGTCGGAGTATTCGCTTAACTGACTTTCATTGTTTGGCTTATTGCGCATGCGCTGATTTCGTCGTTTGAGGTAGACAAAGCAAGCGATAGCAATACAGATGACTACAAGTATTATTACTATCACACTGGTGACAGTTGGTATAAGGTAAGGTGGTATAGACTCTCCAGATGCTCCAGATGATTTGCCTTTAGTCGCTTTAAGGCCTGAAAATAATGAAACATAATTTATTAGATATACATTAGGCATTATTCAGAAAGGGTGACACATGAAATTCGCAACTTAGAACTGATAAATTTGTAACATTATCTCTGAATGAGAAGGGACCACCATATTTTACGTGGTCATCCGAGCCACGTCGAAGCTCTAACCACCATTTGCAGATATTATTGATAGGCTTCAAGTGACGTCACAGCGGCTATGTTGGTCTACTAAAACGATACATTTTCTATCGTACGGGAATGGAACATTATTTCATGCAAAAACTGTGCATAAGGTTTATATTGTTTGGTACACGACTATGGATGTCTTGTCACGTGAGCGAAAACGCTTCATTAGTGCAAAGACTGCACTATATTTAAGTAACATGGGATTTAGTTATGACATCATAAACCTAGAACGGGGACGTGGGAGTAAGAAATACTAGAGATGGAACTAATATCATATTAAGACTATTGCATAATATAAGATCTGTATGCTACTCACGTTCATTGCACTTCTCGTGCTTACATGTACAATTCCCATTTAAGGGGTCACAATACTCATCACTGTAGCAACTACATTTTTCTTGACACTGGTTTCCATAGTGCCCTGATTGACACTTGTGATCACATGATTCACCAATGAATCCTTTTTCACAGGTACAGCCGCCATGTTTTGGATCACAGATGGCATTTGAAGGACAGGAACATGGTAGACTACAGTTTATTCCATACGTATTCGTGGCACATGTCTCTGTACACCTTAAAAAGAGACCATATTTTTTATTTATAAACTTTACAACTAATACTTCAAGGGCGGATTCAGCCAAAATTTTAGGGGGGCTAATTGAGTTTAGGGGGGGGGGGGG